TTCTTATTATTATTATTATTATTATTATTATTATTATTATTATTATTATTATTATTATTATGGAAATCACCCCAGTTCCCTTTTGTCCCTTCCCCTGTCACCACATATAAGGCTGCTGTGCAAATTAAAAATCAATAAAAGTTCCCATCATTATTATCATGGAAAAGACACAAATCAAAAACATGGTTATAAGCTTTTGAAAAGCAATACAGAAACCCTAGCAGAAGAGTTCATACTCAATAAACAGTCCCCTAAGTTACTTATTTATTTATTTAGCAAATTTATATGACCACCCATCTTGCATAATGTGAGTCTGGGCAGCGTACAAACACAGCAACAATTAAACATTAAACTGAACATAAATCAAAATAAAAACATGAAAAAGCCAAGATTGTGGAAGAATAACAAGGACCTAATGTCATACAACCACCTTGCAAGCTTGCCCTGGGATCCCCAAGGTTGCTGGAAAAAACGTTTTAAGGGCTTTCCAGAAGGCTAACAGGGATGGGGCCAACTTCACCTTGGGGGGAATGATGTTCCAGAGAGTGGGAGCCACAGCAAAAAAGGCACATCTTCTAGTTCCCACCAGATGGAGTTCCTTAGCACACAGGACCCGTAGCAAGATATATATAACCACCATGTCTGAAATTATGCATTTTCCTGAGTCGATCTTTCAAAGTAAAGTTCAAGACCTTGTCTCTATGGAGCTTTTTGATTTCCCTAGAACTTTCCCTTATACTAAATATTATGGGTCTTCCTCTGTTAACTTTCAGCTTTGCAGTGGTCTCTTTTGCAGCTCACACAGTTCTTCAGAATGCCTCTTCAAAGATATTAAGCAGAACTCCTGGTTGTCTTTAGTCTCTCTGGTGATCGCCTTTCTCCTCCTCTGGCCTTTCTCTAGTCCTGCCACTGGACCTTGGACAGCCCCACTCCATTCCCTGTAGCAAACTGCAGTTGGGAATATTTCCCCAAGTCTTCTTCTAAAGCGTTCCCCCCGCCCCCCAGGACCACCTTTGTTTAATTCAAGATTAGGACACTAAACTTCCAGGATTATTAGGGACTTTCCCAGAATTTGATCCAATTTCCCAGTTTTCTAGATGCTGTCTTAAACTCCTTGAACCTGGAGTTTTTGAAGCCTCAAACACTGTCAGGTATTTTCAGGCACTAAATTGATGTAAGTAATGGGGACAGGATCTCTTGGTCAGTTGTGTTGTGTGAACAGCTGATACAAAATGCAGTGTTGAGACCCTTGGCAGGACAACCCTGCCAGTATAGAATAACACCTATAGTAAGTAAGTGTTAATAGACTTCTGGGCCCAATTCAAAGTGCTGATCATTACAGGTAGCCCTTGCTTAACGTCCACTCATTCAGTGACTGTTTGAAGTTACAATGATGCTGAACAAGGGGGACTTACAATGAGTCCTCATAGTTGCAGCCATTGCAGCATCCTCATGATCATGTGATCTCCATTTATGATCTTCACTGCTGGCTTCTGATGAGCAAAGTCAATGGGGAAGCCAGCAGGAGGTCACAAATGGTGATCAGATGACTGTGGGGTTCACCTAATGATGGCAACTGGAACTGCCGGAACTGCCAGCATGGTCATGTGACATCACACATTACAACCGTGTTGCTTAGCGACAGAGTTCCTGGTCCCAATTACAGTTGGTAAGTGAGGTCTACCTGTATCTTTAAAGCCCTAGATAGCGCAGCATCAGGATAGATCATGGAATGGCTTGCCAGGATCAAATCTGCCTGTCTGGTCTGATCATTTAAAGAGAGCCTGTTGAAAGACTGCCCCACTCATGAAGTTCACAGAGTATGGGCTAAATCAGTGTTTTTCAACCTCAGCAACTTTAAGATGTGTGGACTTCAACTCCCAGAATTCCCCAGCCAGCACTGAAGTCCATACATCTTAAAGTTGCTGAGGTTGAAAAACACTGGGCTAGATGACAACTCACCTCAAAGGTGCACTGCTAATATTCTGTAAGTTTATATTGTTTCAGCAAGTCTTGACTCCTAGTGGCCCTGAGCAGGGCATTCATCTTCTGCCTTTAAGTTTTGGATTTTATGCTTATGTACTTTTATTTTGTGTATTGCTGTATGCTGCCTAGAGTTCTCTGGGATTGAGGTAGATTGTAAGCATTGCAAATAAATAATTACAAATAAATAATATATTCATTGTTATGACTGGATTCATGAAAAGTAAGAAACCATTAGCGAGATCTTTTTTGCAAGGGGAATTGTAACTAACTGCACATGCTCTCCTCTAATATCAGAAAAGGAACTCAAAGAAAATCTAGATTAGCTTCCATAAACAAGGATCCTCAGGTTCAAAGCCACATTCAATAGTACATTCATTGATGAGAGCATGATGCAATGTTAGAAGCTTGCAATGCCTGACTTGACTTGTGTGGGGAATTTTATTCAGTATCTCGGTGACCACTAACTTTTCTGAAGTTGTTGTAGTTGTTCACTGAATCCTAATGACATGCTAGTTAAAGCATCTCCTCATTAAACTTCACATGCATCTTTCCATGTTCTTGATTCTCTGAAGTTGCGCTATTCATGTGAGTGGATCAGTTAAGCAAACATACCCAGAGCAGCCGGCTTGTTGAAGATGCAAACTGCTTCTGAATGTTCTGAGGAGATGTTCCTTCTCCCCAGTGGAGAAGGACCAGGAATTTCACTGTGCCTAATCACTACCAAGCACATAACCACTTAGTTCTGAGAATCCTCCACAGTTGTTGATTTGCACATCTTTATGTCTGTGTATTGTTTGTTTTGTACACAGTGCTGTATGAGCTAGAGATACTCTATAGCACTTCCACATTAAACAGTCTTGAGTATATCAAGTGGAATAAAAAGATGAAATATTTAGAATGAATTCATATAGAGGTAGGGAGATAAAGAGAGAGAGAGAGAGAGAGAGAGAGAGAGAGAGAGAGAGAGAGAGAGAGAGAGAGGTGTAATATTATTGTGACCAGTTAAGTTTATTTTTTTTAAATGTATTTTTATTTTCTTCCCAGTGAAAATTGCAAATACATGGCATTTCCAACAAAGAACGTTATAGGCATGGATAAAAAGCAGCAACTAATAAAAAAGGAGTTTGGAAAGAGATTCTCTCTGGATAGCAGTCTCATGGTGAGCATGAAAATATTTCTGTGCTTCTAGAATTGTGTGTGTGTGTGTGTGTGTGTGAATGCACGCTCATGTGCACATGCTTTGGCTTTTTTAAAGTTTACATAACATTAGTATATACAATAACTTAAACACACATTGAAGACTTAAGTCCCATTGATTTTAGGGGGTCTAATCCTAAGGTCAGCAATGTGATGCCCATGGTCCCAAGGTGCCTCTGAAGCATTCCCCAAAGCAAATAAAAAAATAAATTAAAACAGTTAATGGATGAGAAATCAGAAGATCACTTAACCTCATGAGATCTCATGGTATTTCACACTAAGATTGCTAAATCTCATGAGATTCAGCGGTCTCACAAAACCTCAGTAAATTAGTTAAATGTTTAGTTAGTTTTTTTAAAGACCCATTTGTTTCTATGTATTGTGCAAAGTTACTACAGTAGATAGCATCTCCCACCTGAAAAATTGCTGACTCCCAGTTTACTACTGTGATCCAGCCCACTGCATTGAAAAACTTCAATTTTATTGAAGATAAATATAATAGATATTAATGTCATATCAAGCCATTCAATTGTGATTATCTTTAATAAGAATAAGATGCTCTAAATCAGAATTTCAGGAAAAAGATGTAATGTTTCATTCAGTGGCATTGTATTGACCTGCAATAAGGAAAGGGACTGTACCTTTTTGTTTGTAAAGAAAGTTAGGGTAATCTCTGATTGGCTGTCTTTTGCTGACAAACTGGGGTTAGGTCCTTTTGTGTGAAATGACTCAGTATATATCAGTAATGATTTTGATAATGGAGGACAAAGATGGAACTTAAAGTCTTATTTAGCAAATTCAATATGTATTCATGGTCTGCTGCACACATGACATTTGTACCTGTAAACATGTTAGGCATGTGCACTGACCTGTGAGTAGCTCACTGCTTTCTACCGTACATCTGCTTGGTAACAATTCTATTGGTGTTCAGCAACTGCATGGAGGTTAGCCTGAATGGCCTTTGGTGCTAAGTCAGTACTGGAGATCTTTGATTGTTGAATGCTGAAACTCCCTCATTCATTATCTAAATGAAGCTTATTTAAGCTACGCCTCACCCTGCAAGCATATACATGTTTCTACATTACAGCTCAGAAGAAACACCCATATGCACATCATCATTGTCAATCTCTGAAATGAACAGAAAAACATCCCTTTGAGTTGTCAGCACATCCAATCTCAAGGGGGTTTCCAAAAAATGCACAACATTTTTGGGGAGGGGGGTAAAACCCCACAAGACTCGCCCAGTTCTTTGAAACACTTTGAAATGAATGGGTATCTGAACACAACTGGTGGAAAAATATGCAAAATTCTTTTTCAGTCATGTCATGTTATTGTTCTTTGGAAGAGCACTCACAGAGTCAAGGTGGAGCTGGATGTTATCTCGATGCTCCTGAGAATTGCAGCACGTTCTGAGATTTTTCTCGCTTGATGTAATGGCTGGAATACGGATGACACCGTTGAATGTATTCAGTCAGCAGAGCGAGCTTCAGCCAAGTTAGTGGGATGCGCCTGCATCTAAAGAAAGAGGAGTGAGGCAGAGTAAGGAAGTCTCAAAATCCCCAGCAACCCCAGGCTGCTTCGTTCAGCCCGGATTCCTATCTGGAGAACTGCAGCCTAGTTCTACTTGCATTGGGAATGGGTTGGCTTCTGAAAAGCCACAGAAGAGCCTTCTCCTTTCAAAATAATTAGCTTCTCAGGGTCATCGTTTCAAGTGGAGTGGAGTGAATCTTCAAAGTACAAATGTGGGAAGATCAGTAGGAAATTTCTGCTGATGGTGAAATCAGATGGTCTTAGAAAGGATGGAAAGGAGAGGTGACAATCAGGGGTCTCCCCTTTCTTCATCAGTAATAGAGCTGTTACAACAAGAGAGATGATGAAAGGATGAACTTTCTGCCTTTCTGCCTCAGTCAACACAATCTACACACACACACTCACACACACACATTTTTCCTGAAGACAGGATAGGTTTTGGTCCCAGAAAAAAAAGGTTGGTCAGTACCAGCATAGTAAGTAGTTGCAGTCTTGGCCTAAAGGAAGATGTTTCAAATTAACAGCAACAACAACAGCATAGGACAGTTAATAGGGATTTTTTCCCTTCTCAATGCTTCTTCTTTCTGAGATCTTTTAATAAGTGGATACTTGATTTCAAAAGCAAAGAAATTCAGAGCAGAAAATTTAGTAACACAATAAGATGACATACTAACCTTGGGCATATGAAGGATAACTGCCCAGTCAGCTTTCTACCCAGTGTTGGCTATGTGTATTGTAGAATTTGAGAGAAAAGTTTATAACTGTATTTCTAATACATTTATTTATGTGATTTAGAGGCTACCTGACTTCCTAAGACTCTTGGTGGCTTACAACATGAAAAGCAATAAACAATAGAACAGTAAAAAACAAAACTAAGGAAGGCATACTTCTTAAGTCCCAATAGATGGCATTGTTTAATGAAAGGGACCTGATGTGCTCCCATTCCACCTAACCATACAGGAGATAGATGGTCCATCAAATAACCAGGTTCTGTGCCATGAAGGGCATTGCAGGTGGTAACCATCACCTTTAGTTGCACCTGGAAGCTAACTGGCAACCAAAGCAGTTTGCAGAGCAATGGTGTCATGTGGGCATATTTAGGCAAGCCCATGACTGCCTGCGCTGCCACATTCTGTAGCTTCCAACTGTTCTTCAAGGTCAGGCTTATATGGACCACATTGTAATAGTCCACTCTAAAGATAACCAGGCACACATGACCATCTGGAGGGCCTCCTGGTCCAAGAACAGACACAACTGGTGCACTAGATGAACCTGTGCAAAGGCCTTCTTGGCCACTACTGCCAATTGCTTTTGAGCAGGAGCTCAAAAAATCCTCCCAGTTGGTGCGCTAGTCTCCAATGGGAAACGCTATCCCATCCAAGACTACAGATACTGTAGAAAGTTCCCAGAATTGGGAGGGCCAAATACTCATAGCTACTTGGTTTTGTCAGGATTAAGCCTGATTCTGTTCCTCCCCATCCAGTCCCTCCCAGCTTACAGATACTGGGACAAGATATCAACAGCATTCCTTGGGCAGCCTGGGGTAAGGGTGCATAACTGAATATCATCAAAATACTGGAACCCAAATGATGGATGACCTCCTGGTGTGGTTTCATGTAGATGGAAAGGGGCAAGAGGCACAACACAAGTGGTTACAGCAACTGTAACCAACCACAGAACCACTGCAACATGGAACATTCCACTCTCAATCACCACAGTTCATCCAGAAGGATGCTATGGTCAATGGTATCAACAATTGCAGAGAGATTAAGGAGAACCAGAATAGATGTACAACCCCATCTTGGTTCCTCTAAAGGTCATCAACAAGCCAAATCAGTACTACCTCCATATTGGGCCCTGGTCTGAAACCTGACTGAAAGCTCCAGATAATCCATTTCCTCCAGGATCCTCTGGAGTTGCAGTTCAATCACCTTCTCAACCATCTTCCCTAAAAAGGGAAGGTTGGAGACTGGACAAAATTGTTGGGTCCAGAGATGGCTTCTGGAGGATGCATTATCACCTTCCTTAAGATTGGAGGAACCAGCTCCTCCCTCAGGGAAACTGACACCACTGCATGGACCCAACCACATGTCACCCCCTGGATAGCCTTAACAAGTCAAGAGGGACATGGATCTAAGGTGGTTGGGCTTGCAGTCTGAAGGACCCTGTGTACTTCTACTGTTCGTATCTATTAAGCTTGAATACAGAGTCAGTATGTCTGTACTGGCTGGGAATGTCAGTGAAAATCTGGTGTATGCCAATGTCACCTGAAACACACAATGTTCTAATTTTTCAGTTATTCATTTTTTTAAAGACACTCCATCCCTATTTTCATAGTTGCTGTTCTCCAGATTTTGTGTGTATTCTTTTCTGTTGTTCTCCCTCCTTCCCTCCCTCATGCGCACACACACACACACACACACACACAAACACACAATTTAGGCTACTCCAGCAGACACAGTTTTCCACACTCTATCCACAATCTATGCCTTCTTCTCTATGCTTTCCTGTTAGACAATTTGTTTAAATGCAGTTTACTTTCATTGTGTTTTAACACAATTATCCCTAGAATACAGTATTTTAAAACAAACTTTTCTAGCTGAGAAGAACAGATGGCAGCTGACTCTCCTGCTTGTGTCATCTGTGTTGTGATACTTCAGTGAATTACAGTATTTCAAGGTAAAAGAAGCCCATGACAGATTTTTATATCCCTAGTGGAATTCAGTAGGTGAGAGAAAAGGCTCCAATATGCCATCATAGGCATATTCACTTGCCTTTTTCTGCTCTCAACCTGAATAGCTCATGTTTTTGTCCTTGAATAGACAAAACATACTAATATAAAACCAACCTGAGTCCCTCCATTGTTTTCTCAGTAGTTTTTAGCCTTGAGATCCAACATATTGTTGGACTGTTGTAACCCTTGCCACTGTCCTCAGGGATTCCAGTCAAGTATTATGGAAGTTGTGGTCAACTTCTTTTTGGAACAACCCTCATATCTCTTCTGCATTGATACAGGCTTTCTATTCAATGTGTCTGATCTGAGGCATTCATTGGAATTAGAGTGAGGGTAACAAAAAATGGTACAGTGCATTTCTAGTTCTAAAGTTGTAGCAAAAGGCATGACTTCATAAAGTCTGGCTCCATATATTATTTTAGAAAAGGGGCCTCACTCCAAATCAGAATGCAGTTTTAAAAATAGTCTCATGGTTTCTTCCATGTGTGTATGTAGATCTCAGACATCTTTTTCATCTACTGCTTTTACACTTGCTCACTTTTTTGTGAGATGGGTGGCTATATAAATATGATCAATAAATAAAAATAAAATAAAATAAAAAATATGGTAGCACTGTGAATTAGAACTTGGATGAAAACTTGGTTTATTAGTTAATTAGCTTAGATACTGCATATTTCTATTACTTTGTAGGAAGCACA